AAATCATCCATCAGCAGATCATTCATCTAGAAGAAAACACAGGAAGAAATCATCAAAAACAATTGTCATTCGAAATATTAACTACATAACTCCTAAGAGGAGAGATGGAGAAAAAGGACAAGTTTCTAATGGATCATCATTAGATGAGGATGATTTCAATGATAAAGTTTCTTTTGGAGAGAAGATAGAGGATGCAGTTAGTTCAACGGATGAATGCTGTTATTTAAACTCAGGCGATGAAAAAGGTATAGGAGCAGACAGGGGACACTACTCTACAAATGGATCACATAAGCAGAATTTTTCTGATGACCTTGAGGTAGGCATTTCTAAGGGTGGAAATATTGGCGATAACTGGGAAGTTTTCCAGAAAGTTCTGATGAAAAATGCAAATGCAAGTGTGAAGGGGGTAGAAACTAATGCCTCAACCCCTGCCATAGAGTTGGAATCAGAGAAAGTTGTGAAGCAGCAAATGGTTTCAGCTGATTCCTTTGTTGTGAAGGAGAGGAATGAAAACAAGGAGAGTAGAGTGAAGTTAGAATTAGATGATTTTGTAAATGAAGAGAGTTTCCATCCATTGATGAAGAGCAACAACCGTATGGATGAAGTTTTTCTCAATCCAAGGAGACTGGAAAAATCAGGAAATGAACTTGGAGATATCCTTTCACCATGTGTTGAGGAATCATCCATAATTAAGTCTGGAAAGGAAGAAGATTGGTTCATTGTCAATCACTCTGGGAAACCAGAACACCAGGATTCAACCAATGGGCAGACAATCTTTGATGGGGATCAGGTTTTACCATTCAAGGGTGATAACTCCTACCATCAGATGAGTAAGGACATTGTTACTGATGATTCATTCATGGTGCACGCTCGACCAGAACTTGATGGTCGATATGATTCACAATGGAAAACAGAAATAAGTATGATTGCAGACCTAACTGCAGCCTCCAAACCAGAAAATGGCAGTGCAGATGATTCACAAGATAAGAACAAGGTTCTTGGTTCCCATGAGCCAGATGACCTTTACATGGTGCTCCAGCGGGATGCTGGATTTGAGTCTACTAGAGACTCCATGACCTTGGACTATGGAATTGACATATCAATGACAGAAGGTAATGGGAGAAACACAGATGTTGAAGGTAGGGAATATGCAGAGAAGAAGCTTCCTTTGGATGGTCAGAAAACCATTGTCAAGAACAGTGATAACTGCAGAACAAAAAAGCCAGTCAAAGAAGCAAGGTCCAAATTGTTACATGGATCCCTTGTGAAAAGCAGAGCTGAAACTATGACTAGGAGCGAGAAACCATCTTCTCTTGTGAACAAGACCAGAGTTCAGAAGAGCAAGTTGGAGAAGGTAATGACTAATAATTTCTTAAAATCCAAATTGTTCATGGATAACCCTTCCTCCTCTTTTTGTTTTCCATTTTATGTTTCTGATAGAAGATGCCTATGAACAGGAAGAGGAGATTAGGAAGAAGATGGAAGAATTATTAATTCAACGACAGAAAAGAATTGCTGAGAGAACTGTGGCTGGTGGTCATGCTTCAGCAGTATCTAAGAAAGCCATATCTGAAAGTAAAACAACTAAGAACTCTGTCAAGCCTGACAAGAACAAAAATCTTTCCACTGCTCGAGCAACTGACAGAGCAAGTGCTGTCAAACTCAGAGCTAGTTAAAACTCAGACCTCAGAGACAATGTTTCTGGATATCTCAGACTTATGTGGTGTCCTAAAATTTGAGGAGCGGGTCAAGGAAGTAATAATCCAACTACATCTGATTGGAGGAACGCCATGCCTTTCAGGTTTTAACCTTTCCACTCATGGTTAAAGAGACGGCATGCTCCACCGACTGTTCATTCTTTTTCGGTAAGCACTAAATTATCTCATAATTGTATAGATTTGGTCAAATTATTTGTATATTTTTTTTTCTCTCTGTTGATTTTATACTATCACCTGTCGGGATACACTGTATATTAGAATAACTCCAGAAAATTCTTGTTTTGGAAATTCTATCATATGATTGTCCAACTCTTGTTTTCTACTCATGATTGTCTCATTCCGCAATAACAGATGGTATAACACAACATGTTTTCCCTACCTGACTTTTGCAGCCATTCTTCCTCCCCTGTACACCATCAGATTCTACATATACTTCTGAATTTTGCATGATAAGATACAGCCAAGATCAGAATCTGATTGCATAATTAACAGATGAATGCAGATATACATACTGTTTCAAGAGGATGGCACTGATCTAATCTGCTAGTTTTCAATCTTATGTTTCACTCTAACAAGAATGCCATGTTGTACAGCTTGAATACCATTGCTCTTTCACAAGATTAGAACTAACTCAGTTGTGGGTTTTTTTTTTTTCATCCCAATCATCCTCAGTTGTTGGTTTTTAACTTTTTATGAATTAATACAGGCAAATCGAGAAATTATATTGTTTTATGCAATATCATTACATCCTAGGAAATGTCCATAAAAAAAAAAAAATCCTAGGAAATGGGTGGGAAACCTTCAAAATGCAAAATACGAACTTTGATTTTTGTCAGAAAGGATCATGCAAAGTTAAATATAGTAAAGAAACTAACAGAGATTTACCAAAAACAAAAAGAAACTAACGGGGGGAAGACCAGGTGAAATTCTGTTTGCATTCCAAGAGAAGCAAATGAAATCAAAACCACCCATCTCCTCTTCATAAGATTCTTACACCCAACTACACAGCTTCAATGTATTGTAGTTTTAGCAGGCAATCAGTGGTTGATTTGATTTGTTGCCGTTGCAAAAAGCTTACCAAAAAAAAATACACACAAAAATAAACAGACTTTTGCTGCAATTTTGCAATGACAGGTACCTTACACACGGTGGGGTGCCTCCATTAAAGACCCCTCTCTTTTGTTCTTCCTCCTTGGCTCTCTCTTCCTAGAGAAAGTTCCAATTGTAAATACATAAGTAAATACTTCTTTGGTTTTTCTGTTGCTGAAGGAATTCATCATATATAATCATTGTCTTCCCTTCTGAGTTTTTCAATATTGTTTTTTCTGTTCTTGGGGTTTCCCTTGTAAATAAGGTTTTTGTGCGTTATAGTCGGCGACGTGATCATCATAATCTTCTTCTTCATCATTGCACCATTGCAGCCCCTAAACGGTTCAGGTGAAAATGCCGACAGGTTGTTGTGTTTTCCCAGCATGTTTCTTTGGCCAAAAGGTTTGCAAATTGCAGGTACTTTTCATCATCAATTTCTTTCCTTTTTCATTTTTCTTTCATTCCTTATTCTCGGATTAATCTTGGTTTTTATCATTTAATCTAATACTGCTGAATCTGCAGAGAATGGTAAATAAGAATACTAGATCATCCAAGAGTCAAAAAGAAGGAAAAGGCATGAAGAAGGACGGTTCATCTCAACCCAAGGATAAAAAAGAGGTGAAATGTACAATAAAGAGGGTTAACAGTTCACACCGGCACATGAATCAGAAACAAGAATCAAGAGAATTGAGGAAGGAGTGCTCATCTCGACGCAAGAATCAGAAAGAACCAAGAGATTTGAGGAAGGACAAGGACAACTCATGTCGACACAACAATCGGAGGGATTTTACAGAATTCAAGAATCAATCACGTAAAGCAACTGGTAACTTCATTTTAATGATGGAGCTGAAGAAGAAGATCCTCATCTTTAGAGACCTCATTGACCTATCACCTTGTAATGGCTCTACTTCTGTAGAGCAGGTATCAATTTCCTGCAGAAGTTGCATAAACACCTTCTCTTGGTTTCATTTCATTTACTGAATTGTACTTTTTTATCTGCAGCTTATGATAGATACAATGAAAGATCTACATAAGCTATATCCCGAAACCATACCCTGCATCAGGCGGTCAGAGATGAAGGGATTACCTCTTCATCAGGTTTCCTAATTTATTTTAAGATTTGGCTAATAGTCTTTGTTGAATGTTCTTTATGGCTTTAGAAATCCTATACTAATGACTACAATGAAATGTTGAAATAGGTTGTGAGGTACTTTTGCATAATATTGGAAGCTGTTGGAGAACCATCAATGTTGAGGTATGACTGTGACAGTAGCCAGCATGACAACTTTGAGAAACAAGGTAACACAATTTTCTTTAGGATGTTGGAAACCAATCTTTGATTTAATATTGTGATATCCAAAGAAAATAAACTTGAGGGTGGTGAAGATGGAGTGCTTTTGGTTGCCTTTTCCCACTTCCTCTTTACCCTTAGTATTAAAAAAGAAACTACTCTAAATTTGAGATTCTTCATTCCAAATTGAAGTTGAAAGGGGGATTTCTTATTTTCATCTCATGTTTTTTTGGTAGCTGAAATTGCCGTGGCATTTCTTGATAGCTTGATCAAGATGGCAAAAGAGAAGTTCGACATGGTAGATGAAAATGAAGGGAAGAAAGATTTCAGTTCAAGAACCAAAACATTTGGAAAGGTCTTGAAGGAGTCTTATTCAGACAACAGCTCCTTCTTCCCTTCTCCAATCACACCAACGTCAGTCCTTCCAGAAATTTTAAATGGTTCTCCAAGATCAGGAGATTCCTCACCTCTTCTTTTGTCTCTCAGAGTTCAAGCAGTGGGGAAATTGAACCCAATTGATGTGAAGCGACTTGCATTTCACATGCTGCCCAATGTAGATGCTCATCAAAGCATTTTGAATGAGAAGAACAATGTGGTAGAGGAGCAAGATGAAGAAACAAAGAGCACTTCTGAATTGTTAAGTTCTCCCATTTCTGATGACAGCAGAGATCCCAGCTCTCAAATTGAAACACCAATTCATCCAATTTCTACGACTCCAGGGACAAGTCCTACGTGCTCAGAAACAGAAGAAGCTACAGAGTCACCACTAACACCATCCAAGTTATCCGTAGATATGGAATTACAAGTAATATCACCACCTTCACCACCCTCAATGTTGCCACCAAATGTAAGGACAGCAGGGCTACCACTACCACCACCACCACCCCCACCACCCCGTCCAATGTTACCGCCATATATGGCAGCAAGAAGACTGTTGCCACCGCCAACACCACCACCCTCTCCATTGTTGGAGCCAAATGTATATGCAACTGAACTATCATTGCCACCACCAACACCACCGCCCTCTCCAATGTTACAACCGTGGTTAGAGGAGGCAACAAAACTCTCACTGCCATTGCCACCACCATCACCCCCAATTTCTCAACCAAATGCTGCAGGGATAGCAACAACAAAACCATTGCCGCAACTAAGGCGATCACCCCCAGTGTTGCCATCAAGAGGACAAACATTGCCACCCCCTCCCCCTCCTCCACCAATGGCGTCTGATGCAGCAGCAAAAAGTGGACCACCAACCCCATCACCTATGGTTCCTTCAAAAGGTACAGGAACATTGCTGCAACCACCATCCATGCTAGCTGCAAAGGAAAATGCTACACCACCGCCTCCTCCGGCCGGGAGATCCTTGCGGCCCATAAAGGCAAATACTAAATTGAAGAGATCAAAACATATGGGTAATCTGTATCGGGTACTTAAGGGAAAAATGGAAGGAAAATCTCTACCAGGTAAATCACACGGGAGAAACCCCTCAATTGGAAACTATTCTGCTGGAAAGCAAGGAATGGCTGATGCCTTGGCAGAGATGACGAAGAGGTATGATTACACAAACTCTATTAAACAATTAGTTGTATTTCATCTGCATGGAATTTACTTCAAGGTGCAAATTTGTGAACCATATATATGATCCTTCGTGTCTTAGGTCAGCATACTTCCAGCAAATTGAAGAAGACGTTCAGAAGTATGCACAGTTAATCACAGAGCTGAAATCTGCAATTGATAACTTCAAATCAAAGGACATGGCTGAGCTGCTTGAGTTCCATCAACGTGTAGAATCCATCCTGGAACACTTAGAAGATGAAACACAGGTTGAGCCTTGTGATCTATTTTTT